TGAACGTGACAATGTTGGTTTTCTTCCTCGTTTTTGATGACCATGATGTGATTTGTTTCGCTTGTACTATCGAATACTATTCTCAACTAACATGATCTTGTTTATCAATAATTAAAATTATTGATAAACAAGATCATGTTGTTTATCAATAATTAAAATTTCGTTATTGTTTGATGGATTCTACTTATTATTGAAATTGAATTTCATTTATTCGTCTCTTCGTATGTATTGCTGAACAGAAAACTTCCTAGAATTACAACTTTCATATCAGCGTGCATGTCGATTTTCTCTGCATCCACACCCACACTCCAAAATCAGCATTAAAAACTGAATCAATTAACATAGATTTTATAACAAAATATTTGTCATCGAAATTTGATCCTTACTTCTCCTTTGGCTTATACGACATGATTTCGTCCGAGTGTTCGCTCGGATTGAATTTCGATGACAAATATTTTTTTATAAAATCTATGTTTGTTGATTCAGCTTTTTTTGCTGATTTTGAATATGAGATTTTATTTGAAAACAAAATATTGATGGGTAATATCGCCAAACATGAGCTCATTTTTAGTTACTTAATTACTACTGATATTAAAAGACTTAATTTTGCAAGCAACAGATCATTGTTTTTTTTTTTAGAGAGATAGGTAACTTTTTTCCAATTGCTATACTAATTGTAATCAACTAAAAATAACTTTTCATCATTCATACAAAAGTAATTGATAGGTTTGCAATGTGCACACACAGCTTTTTCAAAGTTCTACTTATGTTTTAAGGGAACACAGATCTTTTATAGATTACAAGAAGGGCTAATCTACTGCTTTATACGCATTTTTACATGGAGAACTACAAAAAAAAATCAGTTTTGGAGTTTTTAACACATCAATAAACACGAAAATTTGTCATAATATTTAAAAACTTGATTCATTTTGAATGTTTTTGAAAAACTCATTATTTTGAATTTTGACGAACGAGAAGCAACTTTCAAGCCTCTAACATAGTAGTTTTCATATGTAGTTCGATGAGGTCTATTCACATAAAACAAAAATGAATTTCTATTTAAATTTTGAATTTACCGCACCTTATGAGGTAGTCTTGAAAGTACTATCCTCAATATTGACTACTTCAGAACATTTTTGAATTAATATTCAAAAACAATTGTTTGGCCGTACATTTCATCAATATACACAATTTTATTAACTACTTGATTATGATGATATCGACCGTTCATCATTATGAGCTTTCTTCAAGTCAATGATCATTATTGAAAGCAATAGCTTATATATTTAATCAATATCTTTATTACCATACTTTCGGTATTATTAAATGTTTGACCCATACAAAATTCGAGTGTGAGTGTTTATTGATGACTAAGAAAAACGGATTTTGCAACAAGTACAGAATAATCAACTGGAATATGATATCAACCGTCAAGTAAATAGCAATCTGCTGTCAATATATTCAGGGATTAACTAAGTGATATTATTACTTGTTTTCTCTTTTAGATTTTCGTATGATTAGAATTATTGTCATCATTAGGAAATAAATGAATTCATCAACGTAGTGGAATTCTTTTTCTACCTTAAAAATTGATGTTGATTATTCTGTTTTTCTTTGCATTTTCCTTTTCAGTTTAATATGTAATAACTAATAATCATCTTTTCTTTTCAACTATAGATTTGGTTATACAGCCCTGAAATGATTTTGGTGCTTGGATCAGTGTCTTTTTGACAGAGGCACGCTGGAAAGTCGTCGCTTACTATGGAAAAATTCCGAAAAATAATAGGAGTCTGAAATCAGGAATCCAGTAGTAAGATTTATTAGCCGTATTTCTTCAGTTTTTGTTGCAATCGGACAGAGTCAGTCACCGAATTGGGTTACTAGATAGCTGTCTTCAAGTTTCTACCATTCTTCGAAGTTTATCTGTCAGAGTTGGCAGTAATTCATTCTCGGAAGTTGATAACTGCTTAGAATGGACGAAGAAAACTTTATTCTTATCAACTGAATCTACCTTGTTTTGCTAACTTTTTGTCATGCACATAATATCAATGAAAGTAAAAACATTCTTAATGAATTATTTGTTAATGATAAAAACACTTCTTCATTCTAAATTACAAATGAAAATGCGTTTTTGTTATTTCCTTTTCAA